CCACATCAGGGTGCCCTTCTTGCTAGGGTTACCAAGCACCCGAAAATCTCTACAAACCCTTTTAACTTCCTACAAGCCTTTATGTAAGTACCCCTAGACCCTAAACCCTAAACCCTAAACCCTTTCAAACCTTAAACCCTAAACCGTACAAAACTTAACCCCTAGGAAGGATTATTATCTTTGATTCATACCAGGACTCTTGCCCGAAACCCTACACTCTAAACCTGAAATAGCCTGAAAGCCCTAAATGTAAAACACCAAACCCTCGAGCCTAAGCCAAAACCGCAATGTTCAAAACCTGAACACTAACTTTCAGAGGGTATAGGCCTCAATCCCAAGTCGAAAGTTTTAGGGTTGAGGCAAAAACGTTTTTGGAGAAGTCATGCCGTGGAACCAAAACCGACTGTGGTGTTGTAGCTCAACAGCTTTTTTTAACAGCACTAAAAGACATTCTCATACAAGGTTAGCTGAATGAACAACATGTTGGTGTTGTAGCTCAACAGCTCACGTTATGAGTACTAAAAGACATTCTCACACAAGGCTAGCTGGACGAGAACACGTTGCGAAGCCTAGAAGAGAATAGCTTAACATGAACTGTATAGATTTCCGATTGGTAGCGGAGCTTCAGCTCATTGGTTCGGAGTTAGCTCCTGCGAACCTTTTCGGTGAAGCGATTTTCGTCCAGTGGCCATCCTGACAACGGTAGCCATCCTTTTATCGACTAAATTCCACGTGTGAGGGCCGCTGTTGTAGCTCAACAGCTCACGTTAAGAGTACTAAAAGACATTCTCACACAAGGCTAGCTGGACAAGAACACGTTGCGAAGCCTAGAAGAGAATAGCTTAATTAACATGAACTGTATAGATTTCCGATTGGTAGCGGAGCTTCAGCTCATTGGTTCGGAGTTAGCTCCTGCGCACCTTTTTGGTGAAGCGATTTCGTCCAGCGGCCATCCTGACAACGGAAGCCACCCTTTTATCGACGAAACTCCATGTGTGACGGCGCCATGATGTAGACTCGATTAGAAGCTCGAAAGGATCCTTCTTGTGAGTCCTCGTGGGTCACTTAGGAAGCCTTTTGAGTCCTTGTGAGGGAGGTGCATTACCAGTCGACGTGATGAAACCATTTTGTCTGTTGGATTTATCTCAAGAAGCCAGCAGCTGTCGATAAAAGAGCGACGTCATGTGTAAAGATGTTGCAGATGATCTGCAGCACCACTCACAGGACAGATCCGATGACAGCGACACATTACCAGCATTAATGTACAATGTACTCTGCTCACACGAGACCAGAGTTCAGGACGCCAGTATATAAACGTAAAGAGCCAATAGCATGTTATTCTGAACTGAAAAAAGAACACATGGCCATACATGTAATTCCTAGATGCACAGGTTTTCTGATGATATATCATCAGATACCAAGCAGAGAAGGCCAGACATGCAACAAGATAAGGATTTGATGGATGGAGCTTGGGTGAGTGGACAATCAACTCGTGCACCTATGCCAAGTATCTCTGCAGGTGAATTCTTCAGTCTTACAATCATCATGTGCGGCAAAACACATGTTCGCCTTGGTCCAGTTGAGTCAGTAATTACAATTGCTTTACGCGTGTGACAACCACAAGGCCAATTGATAGAAAAGCATGACGCGCGGAGATTCATTGCATTCTTGCAAGAACATCTAGTCCTCAGAAACCCATTGTTGCACACGTAGTTTCGGCTTGAGCAGAAATTCTTAGCTTTCAAACGCTTTCGCAATTCGCACTCGGTTTCACTGTGAGGAGCTAAGATGAATGCCACAGTTAAACAAACACAACCAGTGTGCGGCATGCGTTTCAGGTCGAAATGAACCGCTTCTCGCAGTACGCGTGGTTCAACGACGAGGATGTCGAGCTTCTCGTCATACATCATGATAATATTTCTTTCATAGACCATCGTCGTATGAGCTTCAACACGCCGCAAGACGAAGCACAATCATTGTATTGCTACAGGTTGACGCTGAGCCCTTCGATTGCCCGTGCAGCAGAAAGACACTAGTCTGCAGCAGTAGAATGTTAACTGAGTTAGCTTTTCAGACGGTTTCATCAAAACACTCGACGCAGGGTTCGGTGGACTTCGCGAAGGAGAACGCAATCAGCCGGCGGCTTGCGTTGTTTTTTTTAAATAGTGATCATCGGAAACGCAACTCAGGTGCGAGGCCGCAAGCACGGCCGAGCCTGAGGAGTTCACTTCGTCGAAGAAGAAGCTTCCACAATGACACTCTGGCCTGTTTCGGTTGATTTTCATGTGTAGATGCATGATGTGATGCGCTCTGCCAGGGTTTTTAAGCCAAGATGGCCGCTGGCAGAAGATGAAGTCAGATTCTTATAGGGGCTTGGAAATTATAAGATTATGATCAATGCTTGTTGCTTATCAAATCCAAGGTCGTGCATGGAAGTGGACACTGAGGACGGAACCGTTCAGTGTCATGTCCAGCCATCTGCCCGTACTCTTTGCACGTGCGTGTGCGTTTGCTGGCGTTGATCTACTGATGGTTGTTTGTTCAAAAAGGGAGCGTGAGAAGTCAGGAGAAGAACACTGGCATCCATGAAATCCACACGACTTCTGTCCAGCCTCGATCCTGGCTGAGTCGATGTTGATCTTTGTTTTGATGCACCGCAGAAGTTGCTGTTGGCAGAGCACAGACCTTGGCTTATATTGTAGTGATACTCTGACTTGCAAGCAAGACAGTTCGAAGCAGGCCAACGAAGAGCTATCTGGATAGATTGATCTTGGCAGAGTACGGAGCTTGGTTGATGTTGCATGGGGTTTTTTACCTGCATGATTGTTGCACGAAGATGCGCAATTAGGCTTATGCATCAATCTGGGTCACAGAAAGCACGAATGGCAGCCTCTTGGTCTGAGCTACCGAAATGAAGCAGTTCTTCAGTGGTCACGTGACTTTCTCCATCTGGAGCTCAACCCCAACAAGATTGAAGCTCTTTTCAGAGTGCAGGCGGATGCTACATTCTTGTCAGATGCTATTCGGAGCGTGCTATGTTGTTACTTGGTGTGAGGCGTGCGGTGGAGAAACTGTGGCGGACGGTGGTGATCTTTGCGGCGGTAGTGGAGAGCTCCTCGCACGCGTGGAAGTTTTTTTCTTCCGGGAGCTGAGTTTTTTTAACATGAAAGGAAGACACCGGCGACAACGACATTCCGAGAACTTCCAGTCGATGCTGAAATTACTGCGAACGTGCTAAGTCAGTTGAACAGAAAAACAATCGTTGTCATGCATTGTTAGGCTGCAAATGTATAGCTCTTGCAATGAAGGCTGGGAAGGCTTCAATGCACAATCGGTGGCAGAGGAGAAATCGGCATGCGGCTGAAAGCAGGCGGGTAAAGCGATCAAGCAAAAGCCGTACTACGCTTTCGCGAAAGCTGTGCCAACAGGACAGGATCCGAACATGAAGTAAGCAGATGGGCGCGCCGTTTGGGAGTCGTGGAAGACGCACCGTGGAAGACAAGTTTGTTGAGGCAGTTTTTGGCAGACCTAGAACAGCACGGTGGCGAAATCCCTGAACCGCGCACGTTGCCGCCTTTGTTTTCCAGCCAGCAGAAGGACATTTGTTTAATTTCTTTTCACATACAAATGTGAAGTTCATGCAATTTTAAGACAGCCAGTTTGTGTTGATCATACGATATTTCTTTTGCAGGAATGGCTTCTTCTCCGCAACGAAGAGGCGCAACGAAAGACTCAGGCGAAACGGCTTTGCCTTTTCCGGCAAGCTGCTTTTTCTTGGTACTCTGCAGTATTCTGTCATAGATCTTGCGTTTCTCGTGAAGTGCAAGCATGAAGGAGGAAATCGAGAGGAAAGAGCGTCGCAGAGAGAAGCAGGTGCGGTTGGCCTTGCATGCATGTGCTTGCGCTGAGACTTTGGCTGAAACGTGATTGTGTAGCGAGCGTGCGCGGGTTGTTTGCGCTGCTGAAGTGTTTTAATTCTTTCTTAAGCATGATCAAGAGGCCAGGACGAGAGTAACAAGCGAGAAGGACAACAAGGTGGACTCCAGTGACAAATAAACCATCTTAACAAGACACATTTGTTTGTCGAGTTATTCATACAGGTTCGAGCGCCGTGTGTGTGTGTGTGTGTGTCGTTTCTCTATGTCATTCTACAAGATGTGGCCGTTTCCGTGTCAGGTGGCCAGGCTTCAGTGGCCTTCGAGCCACCTGTTTGAGTCAGTTCCGATTCCAAATGCCACGCATCTGGAGCAATACACTCGGGATGGCGAGTACGTGCTCATCCGGCGCAGGAACGTTGCTTTGCCGGAAGCATACGCAGCAACTCCGCCAGAAGACGGCTACACCGTGCACCCTTAATTTCTCTCCTCTACTCCGAAATTTTGGTTTCAAGGGAGGGTTCGAAGGTGCAAACTGCCTGGTGTACCTGCCAGCTTACAAGGTCGCCTGCTAGGGGATTTCCACGCACGACGCGAATGCCTTGGCGCATGATTTCGAGAATTTGCTGACGGATGCGGCCTTGGCACATGATTTTGAGAAATCGCTGACAGATGCGGTTGGTGGGGCGTGGGACCAGTTCCCGGAAGAACTCCTCAGGGAAATCCCACTTTTCCTGTGGGTATACACAGACATACAATGTCTGGCGGCTTGCTCCACTCTCTTGCGAGATCTTGTCTACCAAAAGAAGTACTGGTCCGACAAGCGCATCAGGCTGGATGTCCCTGAGCTTTGCCGCGACGGAGCACGCGTGCACCGGGCACTGCACCGTTTTCGTCAAGCCAGGACTATCGCTCTAGACATTCCGCAGCTTGCTTGGGCGGAGCGTGTGCTGCCTTGCCACATGGAAAGCACATCAACTCAGGCTGCCTGGCGATGAGGTCCAGGGGTGGGAGTCCTCGCACCCTCTTTTTGGAGCAGCTAGATACTCTTTGAGTTTACCTTCAAACACCAGAACTGTGTACTTCGGCGTGAAGAGTGTTGCATCCGATCAGAGAGCCTACGTCATGGTGGAAAACCCACACGACACGGACTCCGAGATTTACGTTGGTCTGACAGGCAGTTCACCTCTACGTCTCCCTGATTCCAAAGCCCACAAACTGCTCATGCCACCAGGAACACCCAATGTAGTTCTTCTACGATGGAATGCACGCAGCATGCAGCTGGATTTGAACGGCATGATCCTTTGTCGGGCATGGCTGCATGCCGAAGCAGAGAACGCGCCGGCGCCGTTCTCATTTATTTTTGTATGGATTTTCTTGCGGCAAGAAAGAACACAGCAGGCGCCTGTCTTGCTGCCCATGCTGACTCCAGTGGCGTCTGACGTGCAGCCACGGCCAATTCTGGTGTAGTGTTTTGCTAAACAAATAACATATGCCATGCTAAATAAACTTCTTGAAAAAATGTCTGAGCATATAGCAACTTACTACATGGCGCTTTAATGCATAGTTGCTTGCTGAAGTAAGCCTCGCTCTTGCAAGTGCTTTACCTGCGGTCGGACAGGCGCCGTGCAATTGTGCAGGTGGGCTATTTGTCCTATGTGCAGGAATTGGATGTGCGCCTCGCGCAGAAATGAACAACCAGACAACGCAACTTGTCCTGCGTGTCGAGGAGTGCCACTGCATTATTTCACCGGAGACGATGCCGTTGGTGGCAAGCACGTCGAAGATGCATCTGCAGAGGAGTTTCTACAATGGATGTGGCAGCAAGCATTGTGGCAGCAGGAACCTCCGCAGCCGGTGCTGTTAACTCCTCAGCCTACTCGTCCTACTACTGCACTTTTGTAAGAGCTGATATTGATTCACGAGGCAGAAGAAGAACAGTCCGATGATGACAGCAATATTTTGGAAGACATTCAGACTGTTAGGGCTAACCTTGCCTCGCGGTTTCTTGCAGTGTCCTCCGACACTGAGAGCGCAGACAGCGTTGGAGGTGCGAATGTGGTTACTACTCAAGCACAACGCAAACGTCTCTCGGAATCTAGAATGGAAGCTCTGCGAAAGAAAGGCAGAAAAATCGCCCACATGGAAGGCCAGCTGCCCGTGCTGCTTCATGCCAGTGAAGTTGAGGTGCCAGCGACCCCTGCTGCGCTGCACGCATCCTCATCCACGAGACTCGCGCGTGCATTTTCGCGCTGACGACCATGTCTACTTCGTGGATGACAAAAGAATCCAACGGCTCCGTCACCAGCATGATTCATTCTTTTTGCGCTGGATTCGACGAAGCGGTGATCGATGCCATGATGAGCGGCCCTCGCTGGCCTAGGGCAGGCTGTTTGAAGCAGAACCCTTCTATTTTTTCATTTGCTCGCGTAGCTATGGCCTGTCCGGAGCTGGTGGAACTTTACGTTCATCGCATCATGCAGTCTACACATGAAAATCAACCGAAACAGGCCAGAGTGTCATTGTGGAAGCTTCTTCTTCGACGAAGTGAACTCCTCAGGCTCGGCCGTGCTTGCGGCCTCGCGCCTGAGTGGCGTTTCCGATGATCGCTATTTAAAAAGAACAACGCAAGCGAACCCTGCGTCGAGTGTTTTGATGAAACCGTCTGAAAAGCTAACTCAGTTAACATTCTACTGCTGCAGACTAGTGTCTTTCTGCTGCACGGGCAATCGAAGGGCTCAGCGTCAACCTGTAGCAATACAATGATTGTGCTTCGTCTTGCGGCGTGTTGAAGCTCATACGACGATGGTCTATGAAAGAAATATTATCATGATGTATGACGAAAAGCTCGACATCCTCGTCGTTGAACCACGCGTACTGCGAGAAGCGGTTCATTTCGACCTGAAACGCATGCCGCACACTGGTTGTGTTTGTTTAACTGTGGCATTCATCTTAGCTCCTCACAGTGAAACCGAGTGCGAATTGCGAAAGCGTTTGAAAGCTAAGAATTTCTGCTCAAGCCGAAACTACGTGTGCAACAATGGGTTTCTGAGGACTAGATGTTCTTGCAAGAATGCAATGAATCTCCGCGCGTCATGCTTTTCTATCAATTGGCCTTGTGGTTGTCACACGCGTAAAGCAATTGTAATTACTGACTCAACTGGACCAAGGCGAACATGTGTTTTGCCGCACATGATGATTGTAAGACTGAAGAATTCACCTGCAGAGATACTTGGCATAGGTGCACGAGTTGATTGTCCACTCACCCAAGCTCCATCCATCAAATCCTTATCTTGTTGCATGTCTGGCCTTCTCTGCTTGGTATCTGATGATATATCATCAGAAAACCTGTGCATCTAGGAATTACATGTATGGCCATGTGCTCTTTTTTCAGTTCAGAATAACATGCTATTGGCTCTTTACGTTTATATACTGGCGTCCTGAACTCTGGTCTCGTGTGAGCAGAGTACATTGTACATTAATGCTGGTAATGTGTCGCTGTCATCGGATCTGTCCTGTGAGTGGTGCTGCAGATCATCTGCAACATCTTTACACATGACGTCGCTCTTTTATCGACAGCTGCTAGCTTCTTGAGATAAATCCAACAGAAAAAATGGTTTCATCACGTCGACTGGTAATGCACCTCCCTCACAAGGACTCAAAAGGCTTCCTAAGTGACCCACGAGGACTCACAAGAAGGATCCTTTCGAGCTTCTAATCGAGTCTACATCATGGCGCCGTCACACATGGAGTTTCGTCGATAAACGGGTGGCTTCCGTTGTCAGGATGGCCGCTGGACGAAATCGCTTCACCAAAAAGGTGCGCAGGAGCTAACTCCGAACCAATGAGCTGAAGCTCCGCTACCAATCGGAAATCTATACAGTTCATGTTAAGCTATTCTCTTCTAGGCTTCGCAACGTGTTCTTGTCCAGCTAGCCTTGTGTCAGAATGTTTTTTAGTACTCTTAACGTGAACAGCGGCCCTCACACGTGGAATTTAGTCGATAAAAGGATGGCTACCGTTGTCAGGATGGCCACTGGACGAAAATCGCTTCACCGAAAAGGTTCGCAGGAGCTAACTCCGAACCAATGAGCTGAAGCTCCGCTACCAATCGGAAATCTATACAGTTCATGTTAAGCTATTCTCTTCTAGGCTTCGCAACGTGTTCTTGTCCAGCTAGCCTTGTGTGAGAATGTCTTTTAGTACTCATAACGTGAGCTGTTGAGCTACAACACCAACATGTTGTTCATTCAGCTAACCTTGTATGAGAATGTCTTTTAGTGCTGTTAAAAAAAGCTGTTGAGCTACAACACCACAGTCGGTTTTGGTTCCACGGCATGACTTCTCCAAAAACGTTTTTGCCTCAACCCTAAAGCTTTCGACTTGGGATTGAGGCCTATAACCTCTGAAAGTTACACAGTGGGCCCTTTGAGATAGTTGAGAAAGAAAGAGATAGGGGAGATAAAAAAAGATAAAACGGAGATAGGCTAAGTCCATTTTGTTTTTTTTATATTCTTTTTTTTATCTTTTTCTATCTTTTTTTTTATTTTCTTTTATTTTTTGCTATCTGTTTTTGAAGCAAAACGGCGAGAATTCCATACTAGCTCAGATGTAGATTCTTTGTAGAAAAATCACCCACGTCCAGCTGGAAAGGCTTCTGCTCGTTTCACGTTTGGGCTGCTGGCACAGGAGAAGGGAGACAGGAAGCCCTATGCGGCTTTGTGAGTTTTTTGGGGGCCCAGGTTTAAGCAGGGCACACGGGTTGCACACCCGCCAAACGTACCCCGAAACATACCCCGATACATGCCCCCGATACATGCCCCGTAACATACGCCCGAAATTGAAGGTAAAGTAGCTCATGATGCCACGAGACATACCCGAAACATACCCCCGAAACATACCCCGATACCCCAAAACATCCCCGCGAAACATACCCTGATCCCAACACCTGTCGCCCTATAATATGGGTTTGTTCGATAAGGGTGGGGGGGGGGGGGGCGGGTTTAGGGGGGGCCTGTGAGTGGAGGAAAGATTCGCCGCAAGCTGTCCTCGAAGTGGGCGCTGGCTGTGGCCGTGCTGAGAGCAAGGACGGTGGAGGTCCGTGAGGCGCGGGCAAGCAAAGATGGTTTCAGCTTGAGCTGCAGGCTACGACATGCATTTTTGAGGCTACGGAGCCCGTAGTGTGAGGGAGGCCAGCCCGCTACCTGCACTACTTGTGGGACATCTCAGGGCGGTAGTGTGCGGTAGTGTGCGGTAGTGTCTGGGCTTGGGCTGCAGGGCTTAAGGGTGGTAGGCCCTCTACGAAGCTTACGGGCTCCAGGGCGGTAGTGGCCGGCAGTGTGCGGTAGTGCCTGCCTGGGGCCTGACTGGGGGAGCCTAAGCAAGGGACATTTCCGGACTGGCTTGTGGGCCGGAAGGGGAGCTAAGCAAGGGGTCTTGCCGGACTTGCTTCTGGCGCGGAAGGGGGCCTAAGCAAGGGATCTTTCCGGACTTGCTTCTGGGGCCGGAGGGGGGGCCCAAGCAAGGGATCTTGCCGGACTTGCTTTTGGGGCCGGAGTGGGAGCCCATAAGCAAGGGATCTTTCCAGACTTTGCTTCTGGGGCCGAAGGACGAGCCTAAGCAAGGGATCTTTCCGGACTTGCTTCTGGGGCCGGAGGGGGGGCCCAAGCAAGGGATCTTGCCGGACTTGCTTCTGGGCCCGGAGGGGGGGCCTAAGCAAGGGATCTTGCCGGACTTGCTTCTGGCGCAGAAGGCGGTCCTAAGCAAGGGATCTTTCCAGACTTGCTTCTGGGCGAAGAGGGAGCCTAAGCAAGGGATCTTGCCGGACTTGCTTCTGGGGCCGGGGGGCGGGCCTGAGCAAGGGCTCTTTCCGGACTTGCTTCTGGGGCAGAAGGGTGAGCCTAAGCAAGGGATTTTTCCGGGTTTGCTTCATGTTAGCTGTATACACCGTACATTCTTTGATGCCCTAAACGAAACGTGCAATATGACCTTTTTATCCCAAAATCGACTCAAACTAACCTTTTTTTATCTTTTTTTATCTTTTTTTAATTATTTTTATCTTTTTTTATCTCCCGGCGGCTGATGCCTCTTTGCCGCACTTTGCCGCACCTATCTTTTCTAAGTCTGTTCTATCTCGTTTGTCTTTTCCTATCATTCAGCGATGATAGTATCTCCAGAAAAAGATAGAAACGACTTAGACCCTCCCTAAGTGACTTATAACTCACTTAAAACAGACTCCCTATCTCAACTATCTACCCTATCTGCAAAGGGCCCACTGTGTAGTGTTCAGGTTTTGAACATTGCGGTTTTGGCTTAGGCTCGAGGGTTTGGTGTTTTACATTTAGGGCTTTCAGGCTATTTCAGGTTTAGAGTGTAGGGTTTCGGGCAAGAGTCCTGGTATGAATCAAAGATAATAATCCTTCCTAGGGGTTAAGTTTTGCACGGTTTAGGGTTTAAGGTTTCTAAGGGTT